TATACCTTTAAAATATTAGAAACTATAGCCGACCGGCTATACCGTTGAATTTTAAATTATTCGGCTATACTGTTAAATTTTAGTATACATTTAAAGAGTATAGCCGCGCGGCTTTACGCCTTAAATATACAATTTTGTCATATTATTTTATGGTTACGGGCTAAAATACAAAAAAACATGAGAAGCAAGCTCCAACTACACATCATATCTCATTGAAAAATCAACAAATTACTATCCAACAACTTCTTAAATTACCGTGACAAGAAGATGAACTAGGAATGCACAATGCTGAAGGATGGTGATAGCTCCCTTTAGAAGGTATATGGTAGTTCTTTGTTAATAAGTTATAAGAATATGGAATGCAAAGTTTTTCCCAATATAAAATCATATTCACCTTGATACAGTCATATCGATGGATAATGCCAAGTATATTAAGCAGCTGCCTTTTGTACTCGTGTATTCGCTTTGTGTGCACATCAAACATTGTATCTAAACTAACCTGCAGTTGAAAGTGACAAATTTCAGTGTAATCTATTAGACATACCTTCAAGACAAAAGAGAAAAGATGAACAGGATAGAAGTTCTAAGAACTTGTGACCAAAACTTCACACCACTCATTGCTTCAATGTACTCAGCGAGCCTCATTTTGTTAACCTTCTTAACCTACAACATGAACATATATACAACAGATTTAAATAATAATAATACAAAAGAAGAGCCAAAAGCTTAGTATATTTTTGGTTCCTAAGCAGATATCAAGCCTAGAGAGTACCATCATCCATTATTGTTGAAGGTCAGGATCTGCTGCAGAACAATCGCAAGCACATGTGATATTACACAAAATGCAGCGAAGGAAGTTAGAACAGCCATTTTCCAAATTAAGCAAACATCTTATAATGAAATCAAGATAGGAACTTATAACAAGCCCTCGTTAGAGTAACAATGTCCAAAAACACAAGATGAACACCACACCACACCACACTCGACACACATAATTGCTCATTAGTGTTGTAAATATAAAAAAACATGAGATATCACTTAGTACAATCAAATAGTTCTTCATTCCTCGTCGCCCAAATCATTGAACGCATCGCGCAAATCATTGAGCATTTCATCCCACGTCTCATCCACATGCAAATGAAATGAGTATCCATCAACAGGAAGAACAAAATTGTCCTTACCACGAAGAAATTCAGGAAATTCAGAACCCTCGCACATAAATTTACTAATACGATACGCAAGCTTTGATATTTCATCGTCGTTCTCATCGAAACTAGAACAATCTCTGGCGTCCAACATCACCAGATCTTTGCATCCGAGCAGCAACGTTACAAGACCATCCCAATTAACTTTTGCACCCTTCAAATTTAAGTACTTGATATTAGGCACCAACTTCAAAATTGACAATGCCTCACGTCCATGAACAGAGCCTTTGATTCTTGCAATGTTTTTGTATAATTGCAAGTATTTTCGCCAATAAGCCTCACGTCCGTGTGTTTGCTGTCCAATAAATCTCCTGGTAAACTCAAGGTCACAAGGCCAGGACACCTGTGCAAATTCCACAACAACAAAAATGCTACATTTACATTTACAAGGGAAATTAAACTGGGTATACTTGAGGGTTTTGAAAATTAACTTGTTTTGTTAAACAAGTGAAGAAAACTTACACATTTGCAGCAAATTCAAAGGCTTCTACTGTGCAGCATTTGGGAAGCTTGAGCACAGTAGCGTTTACACTGCTCCGATTGATCACAAACTTTAAAAAAGCGGTGACAGAGCAACGATCCCCATCAATATCATACTCACTCGCAAATCTGTCCATAAGATTTTGAAAATCCGGGCATTCAGACACATCCCAAGGCCAGACTTCAATACATTTGTTGTCTGGGAAAATGAGCAGTTGCCAGCATGAAGGATTGAGGGTCGGCTTGTACCATGACTTGCACACAAAAGGAACATCCAAAAGCAGTGACTCCATTCCAACTTTCTCGAACACTTTGACCAAGCAGTCCATTTCTAAGTCCTCCCTTCTTCGTTCGTCCATATGCAATAACGATTTAATATAACTACATCTGTATAAAATAAATTAATTAAACACCAAACTAAAAGAAAAAAATCATAAATTTCAAAAGAATACAAAGAAACCTGGGAAAACAATCATATGGTCATCCTTTTTCCTATATAATAAGAACAAACAAGAGAATTAATTGATGAAGTGTTGGATAATTGTTCATTCAACAAGGACTTTCCGCATTCCAATGCAGTGCATGCTCTGGATGTTCAAAAGGACTTTTCGCATTCCAATGCAGTGCATGCTCTGTAGATTCAAAAGGACTTTCCACATTTCAATGATGTGGATTGGTTTCAGAGGCTGATTAGGGCTAAGCACAGTTTGATTAACTGGACCAAGTGCTTACAACTGCCTACCAAACTGAAACCGATCACGTCGATGAAGGAAATTATGGGACCAACATCGACCCGCCACTCTCATCTACCGACCACAGTCGGTTCATGACCAAACAGATGGTTCGATGCAGGTCGGTTCCAGCGAAGAGAGAGTGCGAGAAGAAAGAGAAAGAGAGGTTGAAGTACTAATCATGCATCATTGCAATACTTAATATGTGAAGCAGTAGACGTCCTGAATAATGGGGATAGCATAAAACGGTGCAGATGCTAGTGAGGGGAATTTATTCCACCTGTCAAGGAAATGCCAATTAAACTCATTTGTTGAAGACCTGATTAAAAGGTAACCACTAAAAACTAGAACCCCGATTAACTAACTATTATTCATGGATTTTGCACACATAAAGCTCTTAATTACCAACTATCGAACACTATAAATATGGCCACATATGCATGTCCTGCATGTTGTGTATTAACCATATGCTATTATTGAATGGAATGGTAATGATATACCAAGGGAATAAACTCATACTTGCATAGGAAAGAGAATAAGTCAACTCTAAATTAGATCATGATAAAGATAATCTTTTTTAAAGTAGTTTAGTCTGCAATGCATAGAACCCTTAATTTATTAAGTAGCCAATCACATATTCGTAGTTCAAAGTTTTCCATACCTTCAACCACCATCTCTTTCCCCTCTCTCTATATAACCTTCAAATATTGGTGAACCTCCATCCAAGAGTAGAAAGACGTCTTCCATTTGATGCTGCACACATGAAGTAACAAGGAGTTGAACATGAGAAACAGAAATATATAAGTTTAGGGGCATCTTCTATAATAAGGTAACAAATCTCTATAATAAAAGATTTGACATTATTAATGGAATTGCTCAGGGGCTCATCTATCTTCATCATGTAGGTCTTTTAAGTGTGCAGCATAACCCTGCAGATAGGCCGATCATGCCAGCTGCAGTTGGAATGAAGTCACAGTCCTTTTACACTAATGGAGTCTCGATAAACATATTTCATGTTGGTGTGTTAATCTGGTACTTTTGAAGTCATTTTGAGAAGTTAAATATAATTAAGAGATTCCCAACCCATGCGTTAGCAAATGCATCCTCTAATTTTTTATTTATTTGTTTTCTTTGGAGTTAAGGTGGAGTTCACACTACAGAAACACAGATGCTGATACAAGAACAAATATAAATGCTTAAATTAACTAGATTTTTCACTTGAGGTGGTGTAATATTTCAATTTTTTTTGTTCTGTTCCTATGCACAGGAGGAGGAGGAGACAAATCTTTTTTTTTCCCCTGTTCCTATGCGCAAGAGGGCATGATCAAATGTCAAAATCTATAACAGAAATGCAATATCCAAAGAATGAAAAGCAGTCCAACCAAGAACCATGAATGGATGAATTTTGAATGCATAAAGATTTATCAAGTTTCAAGCAAGAAGAACCAAACAAATCAATCTATTGCTTAACCAAACCAGAAATAAATAGTCAGAATTTGAGATTGGGGTCTAAAAACCGAACCTTGTTATTGGCAAGACCATAGAAACTCCTCGATAAGATAGCTTCATCATTTCCTTCCACTGAAGACAGACACCAAGTCAGCAAATTTTGTATTTTTTTTCTTCTGCACCATGTCGTCAATGCTAAGAGAGAAGATAATAAGGCGGAGTTGGCAGAGGGAGGAATTTTCGTCGTTGTCGTTGGTGTGGTGAGGTGAAGATGTCGTTTGGGAGAGAGCCAAGAGAGAATAGAATAAGGCGAGAAACAGGGAGAGGAATGGAATTAGATGAATTAAGAGTCTCATGATCTCTTCTTCTATGGACCTGATTGTCAGGGTACCAGCTCCGTAGGCACTCCCAACTTGTCGTGCGCCACTCTCATCCGTTGGGTGGTCGGTGAGGCTAAACTGAGCCCCCCCTTTTTTTGTGTGGTTATTTTGTTATTTTCTTTATTCATAATGTCTTGAGCAGATGTGGCAGCGGGGCACATGTGCTTTATTCTCCGTTTGGCCGGCTAGGAGTGGCTGGACCATGAATATGGTTTTTGGTGGAGAGAGGGAGAGGAAGAGCAGTGGTTGACAATCATTTGCCGACTCTTGCCCAGTTCAACTAAAGGAAATTGAAGTCAAGAGGGGCTTGCCACCTGGTGAGTAATAGTGCCCATGCATGCAACTATTGGAGACCGAATGCTTTGATGTTGCATCTGTCTGCTTTAAGTTCTGGAGGATGTAATTTCAGAACACGGAATGCCTATCTAGCTAGTTGAGCCTTCCTTGCCCCCCTTTTCATTTATTTATTGGCCCAGCCTTCATTCTGCTCACTCATTGAGAGAGACACATTTATGGCAACTTAACTTCCAGGTGGGTTTGGCCATGCAACGTGGTATAGATGGCCATGCATAATACCGAGCCGAGCACTTGGAGGAGGTGAGCACCATGCAAGGTGGTGGACGACCATGCAAAGTGATCGGCGCTCATCCACGATGGTCATGTCTGCCATACACCGTGGTGGGATTCGTAGTTCAAGGTGATCCGCGTTCATCCGTGGTGGTCTGGTCGGCCATGCAAGGTGGTGGGCGACCATGCAAAGTGGTCGGCGCTCATCCACGATGGTCGGGTCTGCCATACACCGTGGCGGGCGACCATGCAAGGTGGTCAGCGTTCATCCACGATGGTCAGGTTGGCCATGCAAGGTGGCGGGCGTCCATGCAAGGTGGTCTGGCGCTCATCCACGATCATCTAATTTGGTTCATGTATCGACACATAATAACAATATAATATTGTAAGATATTATATTATGACAGCCCATCACAAATACTAAGTTGAGATATTATACCTAGATATTTATGTTTGGATATTTATGCAAATAGATATTGTGCAAACAGATATTTTGTTGAGATGAAGATATCTGGTAATGGGTGATCTCATTCGAGAGGAGAATGGAGTGTGAGGAGGTGGCAGCTCTGGTTTCTGGAGAAACAGAGCATTGTAGGGAGCTGCCTTCTTTTCTTGTTTCATGTTTGTTTCCAAGGATGGGAGATCAGAGTGGGTGAGACTTCGATGGCGGAGTGGATGTCGAAGTGGGTGAGAGCTGCATAACGTTCTTTTATCTTCATGGCAGGGATGAGGAACCTGGTGGTGTCATGAAGGTCTGCGAAGGCCTTGGTGGTGAACCCAACGAGAGTTCGGAGCACGGTCAGGTTGGAGTCGAAGACCTTGACCCGCTCCAAGCCTTGAGGTTGGGACTTGAGCTGTCGGTGAGTCTGCCTTAGTCCACAGAAGTCAGCGTAAGATGATAAGAGGGAGAGAATGAGGCAAGGAGACACATGGGTGTCTTGGGCAAATTTTGAAGTGTGGAGAACGTGACCTTTTCTGCTTGTCTTGGTTGGCGAAGAGTGCTGGGACCATGAGGATGGTTGTTTTTGGCGGGGATGAGCTTCCAGGTGTTAAGAAAAATGAGAACAGCATGTCTTTCGTGCCGGTTCTCACAGAAGGCGCCAAATGTTGAACCCGTAATCTTGGAATAGCCGTAATATCGCAATCATACAAGTAAAACGAAGAGATTGAGTGGTTCACCCATGAATCCGGGCTACATCCGCTAGTTGTATTTGTATATATGTGTAGAGAGTTGTATTACATTGAGATAGGCTTGAGAGCCTTTACCAAATGGAAGAGGAGAGAGATCTGGAGGAAAGGAGAGAGAGTTGTATTACATCGAGATAGGCTTGAGAGCCTTTACCAAATGGGAGAAGAGAGATATGGAGAGCACTCTCTTCTCTTCGCTCCTTGTCTTTTTTGGGGTACCCCTTCAGCAAGAGGAGAGAATCCCTTTTGTAGGAGAACAACAACTGACTTCTCTCCCTGGGCCTGCCGACGTGGCAGCCCATTAGAGGCCCACCCAAATGAGGTAAAACCGTGTGTCAACAATAAGCGTGTACAATATAAAATCCATAGTCCTACATTTCCCCACTCCGTTATAACCTTTCAGATTTTTTTATTTGGATAATATCTGTCTTAATTCATTACCGTACGGCAAAGCTAATCGGTGTTGCCGAAGACTTTTTCAGAAAGAGGTTGGTGCAAAAAAGAACAAATGTATCAATATCTCGAATTCACAATGCATTGTGTCCACGTTTGCATCATTTGATTATCCTCAATTATTAATGATTTTTTGTAGTCATGTTTCAATATAATTCTTCAAGCTCCTTAGCTTAATTTACAATTACAAGTATATAAAAACTAAAAAGATTCGGTTGACCCTTTATGGTCGAAAGAAACTAAGACATGGAGAATTTTATTTTATTTTTTGAATACCGATAAATGAGTGATTAGAACTTGAAATATCTTCTAAGGACTCGTTTAAGAGTGATTATAGATAGACCAAAATCACTTATGAGAAGAAGCACCTCACATGCATTTTTTCCATAAAATTTTAAGATTAGAAGTGCGTTTTGTTTACTACTTGAAATCTAAGTAGTGCAATCTTCAACTGGATTTAAGCAAATAACTTCCTATATTATATTGATATTTGACTTGTGGATTACCAAAAAAACTTCATTAAGAAATCATATGAATACTCAAACATCGGATACAAAAATCCAAAATTAATTGACCGAGGGGTTTACTTCAATGGCAAGGTCCCTCCTCCTTCCCCCACTGGTCACTCGTTCAAATTCCAGAATAAGTGTCTTCCTTCCCAATGCAATGTATCTATCTATCGCAAATTGTATAAAATAAAATAAAATTTCCAAAATTAATTAGATACTATATTTCAAACTAATCAATAGGTTGACTTATACTTTGATAGGATAAGGACACGATGTCCATGTTTTCAAGAAGGTGACAACTTAACCTTTTTTCCCAGCAACATGTCATGCAGGCCAGGGCAGTGGGGGCTGATCTACATATAATTCATAATAGTATTTGTTTTTATAATTCTAAACAATTTTCTTATACCAAATTGTTTTTTTTTTTTTTTTTTGGGGGTGTTGAGAATGGCATTTTTGGGGAGATAGTTACGTCCCTACGAATGTGTGTGGGTATCAAATTCTAAAATCGTCCGTCTTCGGGGCTCGTCATCCAATACGTAGGTGGATCTTTGCTACCATCCTTTTTAGGGTTGCTTTATGTTTGGAATAAGTCGCAAAGAGTCTTTGAGTTTTTTGTGTAGTTTTCATCTCTCCTTTGTGAGAGCTTTTCACCTCTCCTTTGTGAGAGCTTTTCACCTCTCTTTTGTGAGCCTTTTTCACCTTTACTTTGTGAGAGTTTTATTTGTATTGTTATGACTTGATATTTTTAAACTTTATCTATTTTTGGTTATTTTGAGTTTGCTCTCTTAGTTGGAATGCTTATGCTAGAGTTTCTTCGATCATGCTTGATCGTTAGTAGAGAATACCTAGATTGTCTTAATTTTGATGTTAAATCTCTCTGTTATTGTAATGGCCCTTTGTGGTTAGTTTGTATTGGCCTTTTGTGGCTAGTGGCATAAATATAATCCCAAAATTTCTCAAATATATATATATATATATTGTTTAAAGTATTGTTTTTCTCTCATAATAATGTCATAATTAACCACGGTTATATCCACGGACATGTATCAAGTCTTGAGAACACATTTTATTAAAATAGTGAATAAAAATGCTCACTGATTTTAAAACAATAACCATAATATCATCACATTTTAAAACCCTAAACCCTAAACCTGGATTGAATTTTACTTGCCTTTGATTTTTTTTTTTTTTTTTTTTTAATGAACATTATGATGACGTTGTCCAATCATCATCACTTACGTTGTAAGGTACTGAAACTTTGATAGAGCCCAGGACTAAGTTTTGAATTCATATTATCTGCAGATACATACAAATGCATGGAAGATTCGATCGACCATGGAACAAGTGGTAGCTGTTGTGCCTGCGTAGCTTATCTATTGTTTCAATCCACTTGGCTATTGTTTCATCAATCTAGCTGTCGCCAAACGACACTAGACTACAGTTGATTTGTGTGAGATTCATTTTAGAATTCATACGCGACGAAAATCTATAAATCACGTCAGACGTAGATATATCATATTGGCATGTATATATGTGGCTCTACATATTATAGAGTATGCATATAAAACTAAGGTTATTAATGACAAGTTAA